CAGGTATTGCTTCTGACTTACTTTTCCCTCCTGTAAAGTGACCAAATCTGGACTCGCCTATTTGGCCCAGAGGAAGAGGTTGGTGTCACATCCATATGGTGCAGCAGTTAGATAGATGCCTTTTAAAAATTCCCCTGGCAACAGTTCAGTTTCCTGGTTCCCACCACGTGACCAAATTAATTTATTAGATGATGCCTTGATCACCTCTGTTCTGTAAACCATTCATTGTCCATCTGTTTTCCCATCCATCCATCCAAACATAAAATAATCTGTCCATCTGTTCACCTATCCATCCATCCATCCATCCATCCATCCATCCATCCATCCATCCATCTTCCTCATCCACCCACCCATCTACCCATTTTTCCTTCCCTCCCTCCATCCATCCCATCAACCACCCCCATCCATCTAGCCTCTCACCCTTCCATCCATCCCTTCATCTCTCCATCCTCCCACTCATTTATCCATCCATCCATCCATCCATTCATCCATCCATCCTCCTCATCTCCCCATCAATCTATCCCCCATCCCCCCATCCATCCACCCAAAAATGCTTGCTTATTGGCTGCTGACTTGCTAGGCATGGCTCCAGTCATGGGGTATATAGCAGAGAGCAGGTTGGATGAGATCCTTGCTCTTTTGAAGTATATTCTATAAGGTAAGGCACACAACAAGCAAGAGAGAACATACTTAGAAAGCACAGCTCCAGAGTGCCCTGAGAACCATGAAGGATAGAAAGGGAGAGGGTTGGGTGGGGAAGGAAGAGGAGGGTGAAGCTGCTTTAAGGTCATCAGAGCAGGCCAAGGGAAGGGACGTAGGAGCTGGGGGCTGAATGATGAGGAGAGCTTACACAGTTAGAGGTTCCAAGGTGCACATGAGCCTGTTTTATGAGGGGAAAAGACCAAAGGAGACCAATGAGTCTGGGACTTAGTGGGAGAGCAGGACAGGGGTGGGATGAGGATGGGGTTATGGGTGGCACCACGTCACTGGGTGCCTGTGGGCCTTGGTCTGGACTCTGGACTCCACTGGAGGACGTATAGGCATCATTGGAGGGTTTTAAGCTGGGAGTGACATGATTTATGTTTTAAAAAGGTCACTCTATTAATTTTCATTTAACAAACATCAACTGTCTACTTCATAGATTCATTTAAAAGCCATGAAATACTCTGAATGCGGGGGGAGCAACGTAGAACAAGGCAGGAGCTTTTAAAGTTATGAACCAAACCACGGTGCTTTGAGTCCGTTAGCATAACTGGAGGATCAGACTTGACTGAACATCAGAGAAAAGCAGCCACAAGAAATCCAAAGTCTGGCCGATCGAGAAAGAGGCAGTGACACAGAGCATGTGGCCCATGGGACCCTCAGGGGGACCCAGCCAGAGTGGCGGGGCTCCACTGTACTCTTCACGTAGGTTATCTCTGAAAAAGGCTTGGTCTCCCCTCCACAGCCTGGCCCACGATTTTCTGGAGTCCCGTATTTATGGCTCCAGCATGGGGGGTGCTGGAAAAAGCAAGGAAACAGGAGCACGTCAACTGCGTCAACTGCATGGCAGGACCAGAACTATTCTTATGGCAAAAGTCTTTTGATTTTCCTCTTGGACACCGTCCCCTCTCTGTTCTGAGCCCATGTGGTGTAGATGGGGGCTTACTCCCTTCCCAGCTTCCAGGCCTGGAAGGAGATACCCGTGAGCAAGGCCTGGGCCCTCTGTGCTTGCAGGCGACAGATTTGATTTCACTTCAGCTTGTGATGCAAACAGGCCTTCAGGGGTCAGTTGAGGGCCTTTTTCTGAAGATGAGGGGACGGCTTCTGTCTTTACTCAGATTCTTAGCTGGGAAACTAACGTGGCTGGAGCTTCTGGAAGCCCTTGTGTGGAAGAGCTCTGCCTGAGAATGAAGTCAAACAGGTAAGCACAGAGCTTGGACATGGTGCAGGTAACACAGGACCCCCCAGATCAACCACTCTGGGAGTAGGACGCACCTCTGCTTGTGCAGCCTTCAGAAGACTAAATTCTGTGTTTCTATTGTTTTTCCTTTCTGAAGCCCAGTTAAAAATTTTTTAAAAAATATCATTTGCAATGAAAAGATTCTCACTAAATCCGACATCAAGACAGGTCTTCTTCCCATCTGAGGGGACTGCTTCGTCCTTGGAATAGGGTAGAATCATATCCCCGAACCCCCAAGTTATACTGCAGTCCTGGCCCTCAGAACCTGTGAATATGACTTGATTAGGAAAGGGTCTCTGCAGATGGAAGTGAGTTACGACGTGGTCAAACTAGAACAGGGCGGATCCTAATCCAGTGACTTATGTCCCTGTAGGAGCAGGACTATTTGGACCCAGGGACGCAGACAGAAGGCGGTGTGGTGACAGGCCATTGCCAGGACCACCAGAACCTAGGGCAGAGGCATGCATGGCAGACTCGATTATAGCCCTCAGGGGGATCCAACTCTGCCAACACACTCAGATATGGGGCATCTGGCGGCCAGGACTGTGGGGCAGTTCCTATTGTTTTAAGTCTCCCAGTCTATGGACAGTTGTTATGGCAGCCCCAGGGAAATGAACACATCTCCCCAAATTCATGTAGTTCTGGCCTTTTCCTTCTCCTACTCACACATGTATGACACACATATTTGTGTTTTTTCCCTCATAAACACATCAATTGGGGCCAGATATAGGGCAGGTGTAAGGCCAGATTTGGTGCAGGGGTATGGCAGGTATAGGGCCAGATGTAGGGCAGGTGTAGGGCCAGGTATAGGGCAGGTGTAGGGCCACATGTAGGGCAGGTGTAGGGCAGGACTTTGAGAGGAGGGACTATTGGTTCAGACAGGAGTTCTACTGCTCCAAGGCAGACTTCCATTAGACCTCTGGCCACAGCATCCTCTTCCCACTACCCATTTCTCCATCACCCCTTAGTCACCCCCAGGGCAAATCCAAATCATCCATGATCGCTGGACTTGGGGACACAGTCTGCCCTGGGGTGCACTCCCGGTCACCCCCATCCTACCAGAGCCCCGCTGGCTGCTGCTACAATGGCTGGGGGGGTCCCCTGGAGAGGAGATTATGACCATACCTGGGAAGTGACAAACAAGGTCATTCACAGTTCTGAACCTTCCCAGAGGAAACAGATACATGCTCCCTGGCACTCTCAGGGTGTCCTGGCACAGCCCCGCTTGTAAAGTGGGTGTGGACAAAGGGTATGTAAAGACTTTTGTGGACGGGTTCATGGTGGGCCCCTGCCCAATGCTGGGTTGGCCTGTGTTGTAGTCAGCTGCCCTCAATCTGCTTACAAGTGGAGCTGCCCAGACCTTGGGCCAGAGATGGGCATTATAGGTTGAAATGTGTTCCCCCAAATTCTTGTGTTGCAGTCCTAATCTTCAGTAGTAGGTGGGACTTTATTTGGAAACGAGATCCTTGCAGATGCAATTTGTACGCCACTCCGATACACCTGGTGTCCTGATAAAAGGATGAATTCAGACACAGATGCACACACAGCGTGTGGAAATGCCATGTGAACATGAGGGCAGTGTGGGGGTGAAGCATCTACAAGCCAAGGAGCGCCAACGACGGCCAGCAAATCAGCAGGAGCTGGAGAGGGGCCTGGAATAGTCTCCCCCACGGCCTCAGAAGGAGCCGGCCCTGCTGCCGGCTGACCCTGGGACTTCTAGCCTCCAGACTGTAAGACAGGAAATTTCTGTTTTCACAGCCCCACGTCTGGGGAAGCGTGGAGGCGGCCCTGGCGCCCCAACTCACCTGACGACAGACAGTTGGCCAGCCACGACCAACACGAAGGGCACGGCTCCTGCTGCCCTGGGGGTCTCGGTCAGCAGGTGGGGAGCTCACTGGCTCCAGGGGCCCCATGGGAGCAGAAACAAGGATGCAGGCGGGTGTGGGGGAAAGCAGGACAGCTGCACTTTATTCACATTCAAAAGGCACTCTGTTGGAAAAGCATTTTGTCAAGACTTTCAGATCGCTTCTTCTTTCTTGAGTTCCGAGCACAGAGACGGCGGTACAGGCTGTGTGAAGTCGTGTGTGTGAGACAACAACGGTCTGTGTTTTCATGGGAGACACACAGGGCTGTTCTCTCTTTCGAACAGCAATAGACTTTTCCCTAATTGTCTTGGGAACACACAACGTCCCTCTGCCTATATTTTCCTTTTTGCACTTTTGGGTAGAGATGTGACCAGGAAGGACTTTCTTCTCTATTCTAGGGAAAGTGGTAGCAAAGATGGCAAGTCAGTCAGGGAGACAATCAGGGTGTCCTGTCCGGAGGTGGCAATAGCAAATCCACTGTTTCCAATGAGGGCCAAGTGGAGTTGTAAGCCTCATTTTACCAAAGTGTCTGTTTTCAAAAGAAAATAGTTCAATATTGACTCAGTTTTCGTCTATCCTGTAATGTGTTTTATCATCCTTTCTATAATTTATGATGGATCTGAAATTTATTTTGATGTCATCCCTTGCCTGGTTAGCTGTAACATTCTCAAGAGCAGTTATGTCACATTTACTGCACCATCTCCAGGGCCTGCAACAGGTCTAAGCACATAGTAGGTGCTCAGTAAATACCAGGTGAATAAGTAAGTGATCCATCATTTGATACTGTTGCATGGATCCAAGGATTTCATGCAACTTCTCTTTCTGTGGAATGGTCTCAGGCTGCATTTGGCCATTGGAGGAATCTAAAAATCAGCCTTTTTCATTCAGCCCAGAGCCACCGTGGGCATACCTCAGGAAGCTGACATCTGAATATATGTGTGAGATCCAAAGGAAGGACAGCAATTTTGCTCGCTGCAGCCCAGAGGGAGCTGGGATATACGCTTGCCTGACATGGTTCTCACTCACCACCATCAGTCAGCAGGCTTTTAGCAGGGAATTGCACATGTGATTTATTTGAGAATCCTTTCAGGTCTTGAAGGACAGATAGTACACAATGCACTTTGTCATCATGTGTCAACATTGTCTTGATGCAGAGAGTAACATTACACCATGTAAGAGTGTAATTGGATTGTGCTGGGATCCTTAAATCTGCATTTTCATTTACCAAAAGCCACAGCATTTGGAGAGCCATCTGCAATCGGGCGCCAGCCCCTCGGAAGGTTTCAGTGTGTAGAAAAACAAAGGACAGCCATAAAGCCGCTGAATGCAAACTTTATATTTACAGTCAGTAAGTGTATAAACATATATTACATTCTTACGATCTACAGTACATTCTGCAGGGGGGTGGATGTGAGAGTGGGCAGCAGCTGCCACATGAAATTGGACATCACGCAGGTACGAAGGGAAAGAAATATCAGGAGGTCGACCGAAAGCAAAGGAGAGTCATGGAGAAGGGCTGACAGTGTCATCGCCCAACCAGACAAGGTGAGTAGACTCGGGGACGGGAGCAGGTGGCTCAGGGCTGCTGGAATCCCAGTGGAAGAGCAAATGGGGAGCACCTCATTTAGGGGGTGCTAAGGTGGGAAGGCTGAGCTGGTGGAAGTGACACCCGTGATCTAAGGGGAATTCAATTATATTCATTAGAGAGGGGGTGTGAGGAAGGAGGAAGGGGAGAAGAAGAAGGAAATGAGAAGGGGGAGGGAGAGACACAGAGGAAGCAGAGAAGTAGGGTCAGGGAGAGACAGAGACACAGAGAGAAGGAGAGAAAGCAGAGAAGAGCATCAGGGAGCAGAAAGACAAAGTGACAGAGGGCAAGGACTGGGAGAGAGCCGGCCTCGCTGTGCTCCCCCTGCTGTGCTCTCTGGGTCTGGCCCTCCTTGCCTGGGACCTCCTGCTCCTCCCGCCTTGGTGGGAGCTGGAGCCGGGACAGGAACCCGCTCCTCCCTCCCCACACCTGCCTTCTTACCAGCTCCATACCTGTGCAGGGAGTTTGGGACACATTCAAAATCACTCTGATTTCAAACAACCACATTAAAGCTCTCAGGACAGGCAGGGCCTCCCTCTCTCTCCAAGGGTGGGCACCTCTGTCCCTCCATCTGTCCAAGCCTGCACAGGGGTATGGATGGACCTCCTGAGGCCCACCTGCAGCACGGCGGGCCCCAGCTCACCCCAGCTCCCCAGCACCCCGCACACCACACCGACACCCATGTTAATCTCTGCAGCTGGGTCTGGGGGGACCCAGTGTGGACGGAGACCTGGTGTGGCCGTCCACAGGGCCGTCACAAAACGGCTCTCCGGTCCTTCCAGAGGAGCAGAGGGACCAGTGTCCCTTGGTGTTGAATTCGCCGTGACAACCACTTCTCCTCTAAGATCCGCCTCTTCAAGGAAAGGACACGAGTGATGTTTGCCTGGTGGGCCCACTGCAGAATGTCACCTGGAACTGATGCACAGGCCACGGGGAGAGGGTGGGTGCTGGAAAGGCACCCAGTGCCTACGGGTGAGCGGCAGCTTTTAGAAAGCTGGCAGGGCAGCGGAGTACAGATTCAAACACAGCGATCTTGCCCCCCAAAGCCTGGTTCTTTGAACAGGATTGACATCCTGTGCCCGATATCCCTCGTTTATAAAGAAAGAAATGCCCCGCATTGCCCAGAGGGTTTGTTCGTTTGTTCTGGATTATCTAGTTACAAAAAGATTTGTGGCCTACTTGCCCATGTGCTCCCCTTCAATGCCTGTCAGCAGCCGCAGTGCCTGGGTCTAGGGAAGATGACATCCCGCCGTGACACCCGCTGGGAGCTGCCCACACTCAGGACGCTGCCCCTGGTCCCACTCGCGATGGGATGTGTGCCTCGGCTCACATCACTCACTGCCTCCCATCCATCCACTCCCATCGAGGCCCCTGAGTCTTGGAGTTCTTCTGCAGTCTGCGGATAGTGAATTCTGGACCCACGTGGATTCCACAACATCCACAGGGCTTTGATTAAAGAGAGAAAGCGAGGGGCGGACAGAGGGGGCTGTTCTCTCCTGGAACCTCTCAGAAGCTCAGTGATTCAGAACTCATTTTTTCTTCCAAGTTTTAAAAATCTTGCGGTGCACAATCCGCCTCGTAACACCGGCCAAGACACTGGATGCCAGAACGTGTGCATCAATCCTGACAAGGGATAGGTGTTGTCTAGCAGGGCGCTCCTGATATCGGGGCGATCTTATGTGGTCCTGTCACTTCGCTCTTTCCCGGGGGCACCCTTGCCACACATCCCCAAATTAAAGGCTGAGAGGTGAGTGAGAACCAGCGTCTGCAAGTGTCCGGCTACACATCCTCATGTAACCTTTCCATGTAGCTGTGTGGCTGTCTGCTCTCCTCAGGGTCCAGGTCCTGGCAGACCCAGCTCACATCCTCACCACTGGTCGATATGGAGTTCACAGTGGGACATCCTTCATCCGAGGGGATGGTGGTGAACGTGGTGAATTTTACTCTTTTCCGTTTCGAGGTAGGGGACGCTGGGGGCTCACTTTTCTGATCCTTCCCATCAGCAACTGGGGGTCCCGAGCATTTGAACAGCTGCCCATTGATGCTCTGCTGGGAGTTTGTGCTGAGGAGATACTTACTCTCTTCAAAATCCATGCCCCTGTCAATGGCAGTGATCTGCTCATCCTGGGAGGACGCAAAGTTCGTGTGGATCTCCAGCAGTTCCGACCGGTGGCTCAACCCAACCCAGTCGTGGGAGTGACTCATACCTTCTTGCTCCTCGAAGGGAACCTGTTTGCGCCTGTACTTCAACGCAAAGGCCACGCAGTTGATGAGGAAGACCATAATGGCCAGACAGAAGACCCCCAGCAGAGCGTACATGCCGATCTCCAGGTCACTCAGCCCTTTGGATGCCTGGGTGAGGCCATTCTCGTCCATCTCCCCATTGTCTCTGGGCAGGTCCCCCTGGGTGGGGAAGCTGGTGAGGTCGATGGGGATGGTCTGCAGATGGCTGTCATCAATTAAGAGGCTTCCCTGGCTGTTCTTTCTCTGGAACGTTGACTTCTCTGTTGTAGATCCTCTTCCTTCCACGAGCCCCATGGAAGAACTGCCATAGGACTGTCCCCCCTGACTCCCCCATTCTTGAGAGGGTTTTTTGGCTCTTCTGTCACCGACATTATCTTCTAGGTGAACTCCTGACCCAGTGTATCTGCTGTCACTGGCGTTGGGGTTAGCATCATTTTGGCCGAACTTAACTTTGACATTGGCTGTTCCCACAGCCAGCACACTCTTCCGCTTGGATTTCTGGCACGATTCGCTAATGATCATCTCAACTTTCACCAGAGCACCCTGCCCTTCTGTTTCAGCAGCGATTACAGGCCACTTGAATTTGGGGTCTTGGTGGATGGAGACCACTTTCTCATCCAGGGATGTGGTCACCAGGGAGAAGTCTTTCCCATCGTAGATATCCAAGGGGGTGATGGAGCCATCACTGAACTGGACCCAGCAACTGATGGCTGCTTCCTGTCAAATAAAATAAGTCAATGAGCACGGGCCCCAGAGTTCACAGAACACCAAGTCTTTGTAAAGTAGGCATTCAGTGGCAAAGATGATGCAACAAGAACAAACACTTTAAAGCAGTGCAGAAATAAGAGACCACATGCACGAGGGTCATGGAAGAGAACCGATGCTCATGAAGATGCAAAACCAAAAGAACACAACACGGCATTGACATGACAGCAAAGCAGGGCCCATACCAAACGCTCCATAATCAGATCTACTTTTCATCCCTGAACAGTTGAAAGAAAGATGGAGTCTTTAGGTGGTGCAAGATCTACTTCTGCGTAACCATAAATCACATGTCAAAGGATGTTTGTTCCTGGTTAGTGAGATCACTTATGAGTGTCACTTATTTTTTTTAAAAAAATATTTTATTTATTTATTCATGAGAGACACAGAGAGAGGCAGAGACACAGGCAGAGGGAGAAGCAGGCTCTATGCAGGGAGCCCGACGTGGGACTCGATCCCAGGACCCCGAAATCACGCCCTGAGCCGAAGGCAGATGCTTAACCACTGAGCCACCCAGGTGTCCCAAGTGTTACACATTTAAATGGAAAATACTTATTACATTATTTTTGGCCAAGGTCTGTACACATTTCAATCTCTTGGTGCTTTAGATCAACTTTCCTTGGGACGAGTCAGACCAGGCAAACCATAACAGAGGAGTTAATCTCTGACTTAATGCGAGCCTTTAATTTCAGGGAAGATGTCACTGTGCTTGACAGTGAACTGGTGACCCCATTGCTTCCTCTCTTCCCTAGATCTTGGAGAACCTGCTCTACCCAGAGCCCAAAAGAATGAATAGCCTGGAGAGGCACATGACCCCACACACCCAGCCACAATGCCATGGTGGATTGGACCAGGGACAAAGTGGCCATCAGAGCTGTTCATCTCAGCAGCTCCGAGCCAGTGGCTATCTCTTTCTCTCTCTCAAATTTGAAATAAGACAGATGGAAGTGAAGACTTAGCTGTGGGAAGACAAGTGGAGGCTCAGGTAAGCCTGGGGGGGGGGGCAACCAGAGTAAGCAAATGTCTGGGCCCAGCATTTATCACAGGGAAAGGAAAAAATACACCAAAACAAAGCCACAGGGGAGGGAGTGCGGGCATGTGGATACCCCACCTCCTCTGAGTTCCTGCAGCTGGGGTCTGTGAAACCCTGGTAATAAACCCCTCGTTTTTCGAGCTTGCTTGAGTGGATTTCTCTTTCTTGCAACCAAAGAACCCCCCAGGGGACCATGAGTGAAGCCAGGTTTCCTCCGGAGCTGTTTGGTCTCTGGAAGTAGGAAGAACCCCTCCAGTGTGATGGGTGGCTTCTGCTCCTCTTGCAGCTCAGCCACTAAATCCTGCTATTGTTAGGTATTGGCTTAGACCAGCCACTGACTGCAGAATGCTGCCAAGACACAGCGCAAGGGCCCCTGGGCGTGACACTGATTCAACCGGGTTCTTCCAATCTGCCATGAAATTGGAGCAGGAAACTCAAATGCCATTGGATTTCCCAAAACCTAAGTGTCAGAGCCAAGTGCATGCGTGGACTAAGGGCCATCCAAACCAAGTATGGGGCAGACCACAGGGTAGTGTGTTCAGCTCTGCATGTTGGAAATGGATTCGCTCTTTGGCCTCATTCTCACTGTGTCTTATTGCTTCCTTAACTCCTGACAGGCGGTTGCCTGATTTTTATCACCCCATGAAGAGAGAAAGCAGCCCCCAGTTATTTCTCCTTTGTTATCTGTGCCTTGCATCCTGGCTGGCATTCTGCCCTGAGAAAAAGGACGTTTGTCTTTGGCAAGAATTCATATCTGTTACTGGAATCATCTACATTCAAGGGTTTTATAATCCAAGCCCCGGCACACAACAACCATAGTGAAGGGACAGAAGGATTAGCTAAGCCCTGATGAGCACTGAGTGACAAGTACAGGCTGGGATAAGAGGACAAGTCTGGCTCAACTTGGAGCGCGGTCACAGCCTCAGCAGTGCTGGGGGTGGAGGTGCTGGGGGTACAGCTGCCAGGAAGGCTTCCCACCCAGAATGGAGGCTGCCAGGAACTCCCCACATGTCCTGGAGGCTCTCCAGCACCCCCACCAGGGGACAGTCCCGCTTCACAAGCCACAGAGAGAATCAGCAGCTGAGACCACTGTCTTGTTGCTCAGCAAGCTTCACCAAAGCTTCCATACTCCCTCCATAAAATAAAGCTTACCCACCTCTAATGAGGGAGAAGGACCTATAACATTTGCAAATGTCCTGTTTCCAGCGCCTGTTGGAAAGCATCATGTCGACACACAAAAAGACACTTGACATCCACATAGCACACTGTCAGCAGACACTGGTCTCAAATACAGAGAAAGGAGATGCTGATGGACATCACCACAGGGCCCCTACTCCCACCCTGAGCTAACTGCAAATCTGCTGAGAGCAGCTCCTCCGATCTCCCATCTCCCCAGACCCGCTACCCCATTTGCCTCGTGGGGACCGAGCAGCCAGCTGTGGGCACCTCCTGGCATCCCCTCTGTTTCACCACTGAGTGAAGGCAGCCACATCCGGGGCAGTGTGGGCAGCAGAAGAGAGGGAGGCAGTCCAAGCGACTACCTGAACGCACTTGGCATTGTGGTTAATGGGGAGTGGGGTCCCCGCCCAGCCCCTAATCTCCTGGCACCCTATAATCTTTTACCCTGGGCAAACATTTTTTTCCTTGTAGCTCTGCTTAGGAGAGCTAGGAAGCATGAGCCAGACAGTCACCTGCCCCTCAAACCCCTCTTCAGGCTGAGAAACCCATGACATGAGATCCCACTGTTCTATGGAATTCCCCAGTTGGTGACTCCACCAGATAGGTAGCCTGATCTATCGTGTGACCACACTCCACAATGTGACCTTGAGTGATATATGACTCACTCAGTGTAGGACCTGCTCGATGAATCACTCTACCTAACATGTGATCTGGCCCGACTTTGGGATTCTTCCGGATGTCTCACTCACATGGTGCATGACCTCCTCTGATGTGTGACCCACCTGGTGTGTGACCCACCTGATCGGTGTCCCACCTGGTGTGTGACCCCAGCCCTGCCCCTGTACCTGTCTGGGTCTTTGCAGAAGCTCCTGAGCCACTGCAGTAGCAAAGATGGCTTTGTTGCTCCCTGGGCTGAGCTGTAGGGAGAGTGACAGCCCTGTCACCAGCTGGACCCCAAGGTCTGTGATGGTCACCTTCTCATCTAGCACGGTGATGGTCTTTTCTGCCAAGATGGCATCTGACAGAGGTGACAGGATCTGAAAGGCAGAACCAACATGTAAAGAAAAACTTTCTGTGGTCCCAGAATTTCCTCCAATGGCATAAATGATGCTCACGGAGACAGACGAATGAGCCAGAATGAACAGAATGGGTCTTTTCCATTGAAGTCTTCTTCCAAAGGGCATATCTCTCTTGTGAAAATATAATGTATTTTTAAAGTAACAGAAAGGTGGTGTCTGGCAGCAGATGGGGGGACCTGGTGCCTCACCCCACTCTACGGACAAACCTCACTACCCACTGGGCACCACCATGGTCCTTCAGAGGAGGAGTTAACATTGCCATTCACTGAGTGCTAGGTTTATGATTCTTGTACTGCACTGCCATTTTTCTGTTATCTAGTGCATATTTTATTTAAAATCATTTTACTTAAATAATTGATTTAAGAAATTTCACAGCATCAAGGAGAAATGACTTTGATGTGCTAGCTACATATTTGTATGTTTCTCTCTGACATATGAGGGGGAGACTGTGTCTGTGTGTCACCTGCGTCATCTCGTGTGTCACAGCTCACATTCCATACCTTGGGAAACACTGAGCTTTTGGGAGACCAGCTGACATCCCCAGAAACAGAGCTGTGAGTCTCTGCTGTGGGTGCTGACATCCCAGAGTCTCATTTCTCCCGTGGACACCTATGGCATCCAGAGGAAATGAAGCTTATTCTCCACTTAGATCCTGCAGAGGAAATCTTGCTTTTGTGGAGCCGCTTGTCCTGCTCACCCCGCACTCAGGTTTGAAGAGTTAGCTTTGCTCCCCGTGGACGTAACCCTGGGTGGCACGGCTTCCAGGTTCTTCAACCTGCTTTCCCTACATACTTCCCCCTGCGAGGTGGTGCTGATAATCATGAAGACAAATGTCAAGATGGCAGTTTCCCCAAGGTCCCTTAAATTCGTTTATCAAGCTCCACATTTCTACCCAAAAACCAGTTTCGGTCTCTAAGTCTGGTTGGGGCAATTTGAATGGCAGTGAGCATGATATGAGTCCCCAGAAGAAAGTGGACAAATGGATTTATAACCCAGGAGGACTGAGTGGGAATAAAGAAAAGGTCTCAGGACTTGCTGCCCCACCAGGACAGGGTCCGCGTTGAACACGTGGGAAGCTGGCCTACGTCCACCACCGCAAGCCCTGACTTGGGCTATTATTCTTCTGGCCCTTATGCTACTGCTTAGGGGAGTGGTTAATGCCACACTGGTTCCAGTCTCTGACTAGTTCCAATACTGACACCTGGAGATTTAAACCAAAGATCTAAATCCCTTCAGTCTATCCACCGGTTTAGATCTTTCAATGAAAAGTCAATCGTGGAGGTTTTTGAGCTCTCGTCTAGGGCACAGATATGTTTTGTTTGACATAAATAAAACTTTAAAATAGAATTCATGGCCACGCTTTAAAAAATGAGAGGATTTCATGCAAAGAGATTTCTTAAGGGACACCGGGGTAGGTCAGCAGTTGAGTATCTATCTGCCTTTGGCTCAGGGTGTGATTCCAGGGTCCTGGGATCGAGTTACGCATCGGGCTCCCCACAGGGAACCTGCTTCTCCCTCTGTCTATGTCTCTGCCTCTCTCTGTCCAGTGTCTTTCACGAATAAATAAAGAAAATCTTCAAAAAACAACAAAACAAAACAAAGAGATTTCTTGCTTTCCTGGAAAAGTTGCAACATCTGGCTGTGCTAGATTTGCATTTTCTTCGGCAGCTCTGGGGTGTGACTGGCAGCTCCGTCCTCCCCACACTCCTCATCAGGCCCCATCCTGTTCTCAGCACCTGGGGCCCAAGTGAGTTGCCGTCTTTTGGCTCACACCCAGCCTGCTTCGCTCACTGTCATCTTCTCTGGTCTTAGACACCGTCGGATCATGTGAGCCCGGGTCACTTCAAATCCATTTATTTTCCTCCTCGAGTAAAATGATGTCTTTTACATACCAACCGATTTTCCAGAATGGATATGCTTTAAATCTTGCGTAATCCAAACTTTCACTGATGAGGCTTCTCACATGCAGCAGTGTCAGAAACCCCACTGTCAGGCTAGTAGCAGGATCAGGGCAGCCATGGAGCAATCGTATTTGTTCTTAGACAGGAGGTAGATGACTAAACCCAGGGGACCTCCTGGAACAGTGTCTGGGGGAGTGTTTTTTCCAAAACCCCATGTTGCACCCTTGTCCTCTCCCATCTGTTCCTGGGGAACAGGTGCTTCCAAGATGATGAAGAGCATAACAACTTTGTTCCTTTCCTCAGCTTGCTTCTGAGATGTCCTAGTTTTCACATGGCCTGGGGTGGGACTTGAGGCAGCATGGCCTCACGGTGGGAGGGAACGCTGTTACACATGCTGATGGTCAGTGGGGCAGGGGGCTCAGGGAGAAGCTCTTGGCCATGCCCACGGTCCCCACGAGGCCAGCTCACATCCGGAGCTTTCTCTCCAAGGTGGTAACACCTGCCATGCTGTAGAGACAGACAGCATACTGGGCTTTCAGACATAAACCAACCAGAGAAGCCGTCCAGTGTTTGTCAAATGCAAACAATACGTGAGCAATTTCAAGACTCTTGTCATATCCTGACACCACTTACGTAATTTAGGTGACAATCTCATTCACTCTAGAAAGAAATGTCCTAAGGAATGACAAACAGTTCTCATCTGGGAGAGAAGATGCAGGGATACAGAGACAGGGTCCTTGCCCTGGGGGTTGCTTACCTGAATGGTGGTCATCCCAAGCTCCTGGCCAATCAGGACTTGTCCCCCTCGCAGCTTGGCAATCCGGGGCTCCTCTACCTGCATGAAGTCATTCACTAGCTCCGTGATGTCCACCTGCCAGTCTGAGCCCAGCAGGTGGGCCAGGTGTCCGCCGCGGTCGGCCGCCTCGGCCACAAACTGTGTCAAGACCCGCACCATGGCATGCTGGTACTGGAGCGTGCAGCCGCGACCCCCCCTCCTGTCGTCGTCCTCCTCTTCCTCGCTGTCGCGAGCTGGCCTGTCAAAGAGTCAGTTCTGGTTAGTAGTTCTGACTCGGGCCAGTGGCAGGGGCTGTGCGTGGAGTGTGACAGGGGCTGCAAAGGCGAGTGGGCAGTGAGCCAGCTGGTGGGGCTCAGACAGTGCACGGGTGATACCCTGAATACCTGACCAAAGGTGCGACACGAGTCCTGACACTCTGAAGGAGCTGGTGTGGTCAGCAGTGCTCCAAGGTGTCCCCATTGAGCCCCACCTCCCGGAATGCAGTCGGTGGAATCTCCTCCCTTTGGCTGGGAGCTGCACCTAGTAACCTTCCTCCAGTGGAAGATTACAGCCAAAGTTAGGGGAGGTCACTTCTAGGATTCTGCTTTAAAAAGACTATGACATCTGTCTTGCTTGGTATTCTTTCCTTGGTCTTCTCTTGCTTGCCCTGATGGAGGGAGCTGCCGTGTTGTGATCATCCTATGGGACTAACCATCTGCCAGGACAACAGCCAATGAGGAAGCGGGACCCTCCGTTCCATAGCCTGTGAGGAGCCAGGGCTGCCGATGACCACGTGGGCTTGAATGCAGAGCCCTCCCCACCCTGAGCTCCAGTTGGCACCCAGACCACAGCTGTGAGAAACCCGGCTACACCCAGGCTGTGTTCCTGAGGCGGAGGCACTGTGAGATCATATGCATCTTCTTTAAGGCACTATGTTTGGGGACAAGGCATTGAGTTGTGCAGCACGAATATGCCAGGGCTGTGTGGATGCCTGCTATCGCCCCATAAACGAGCACACAGGGGGTTAGTGTTGAACTAAAGGTAAGGTAACATGACAGTAAACACAGAAAGGACCGGGAAGCTTTGGCCTGGGGACCGATGTTAGCTGCTCCCCTCGTGTCTGACTCTTTCTGTACAGTCCGTTTTTTCTGGCACATCATGGAATCCAAACAACAGCCCGGGTCTGTGGCCAGACCTGAGCTAGACAGCCCTGACGCTGCGATGCGCCACGATCAGACTCAGCCAGTCCCCTGGCGCGTCCTCCCGGCCACACTAACCTCTCCTAACCCCAGTGGCTAAGGGGAGGATCCCTGCAGAAAACACCTCCTGGCCCTGCATCCTTGAAGCTGTCCCCTCTCCCAGGACCACAGGACAGACAGGTGGAGCTCCAAGGGCAGGGACGTAGAGAGTATCCCTCTGAGGAGTGCCAGCTCTCTTCCCCTGCGGAGCGCGCACACAGCATGAGTGCTCCCTTCTCTAATTGCCTACGCTCATTTTCGACTTTCTACACGTGGCCAGCATGCGGGTCCTCAAGCATGCATTTCTCTAGGGTGACAGAGTCCCTGAACAAAGAGCCTGTCCTCTTGCTACTCTCTTGGTCCCTGCTGACCCATGTGGATAAAGGAGACCTGTCCCCCTAGCAGATACCACCAGAGTAAAAGGCCAGGGCCATGGGTGACAGGCTCCAATTCCATCTCCAAGACCATGGAATCTCAGAGCTTCTGGGCAGGGGCACAGAAAGGGTGCCCAGGCCAGCCAGACTCTGCTCCCAGGTCTCTCTACTGGACGTCTGTTGTTCATGCCTTCCCAGGATCAATTAGCCCTTTCTTCTGGTTCCGGTGGGATTGACCTCGTCCAGTTCCTCTGGCTCCAGCCAGGCGATGGTGGCTGAAACCTGGCCAGTCAGTGCATGTCATCACTACCGTGACTGCTTCAGGAATGGGCACATAGCCCATGTGAGGCTAACCTAACTCCAGGACTTCTGCTGGGACCAAGGGGAAAGAGAGGATGCATTTTCCGCAAATCTGGACCTGCAGGAGAAAAACCTGGTAGAGCAGGAAGCCAACATACAGCAAAGCAGCCTGAGAGGTGGGGACAGACACCGTCCTTAGGCTGCCATTTGAATCCCTGGATCCAGCCATGCCTGAAATCAGCTACTCTGCAAAGTTCCATTTTTAGCGAAGCATATTTGACTGGGGGCTCTGGGAGGGGGTTGTGACTAGCACACCCACCTTTTGTTGGAGATGATGGGCACCCTCCAGCCCTTGATCTGGTTGAGCTCGGTGTCTGAGACCTCAATCTGCAGCGGGAGCCGGGGAACCCACACCGTCATCTCCAGAGGGCTGCTCAGGTGCTGGTAGGTGAAGTTTACCACCACGTTCACCTTGCCTTTCATTTCCTTCCCATTGACAAAGACATAGTCACATCTGTCAGACACCTGTGAGGAGGAGAGAGGGGTGGGAAGCATGTGAGTTCTCACTGTATCCCATCACCTCGGGAACAGCAGACAAGGTGGAGGAGGCGAGGAAAAGTGCCCTCGCCCTTTATGGGAGGATGAGCCCTGGAGTGGATGCCGCCCACTGCTCTCTGCTGCAGCACATTCAGTGGGCATCCGACTGCTTCTCCTGGGACCCCTTCTTCTAGTCTGCACACAGCCCCCAGGCGCTGTGGGCACACTGCCGACCTCTTTTGCTGCTCCTCCTCTGCCAGGTGGCCCATCCCTTGGGTGCCAGGAGCAGTGCCCTCAGCTACCTGGTAGCTGTGTGCTGCCCGTGTGCCTCTTGGCCCGCCAGCCCCTGGTTTGCCTGGAGGAGGGACAGTCTGGGTGCATGGCCACCACGCCAGGTGCCTCCTGTGGTCTGGCTGAGGCCAGTTTCACTGGAAACACCCTGCTGGGTTTCCCTCACCTGTGCACCGGTGGGTCCTGTGTTCTCTTGCTCCCATATGGATTTCCCCCAGAGAACATCCCTTCACAGTCATCGGGACTGATCTGATGCATACTCTTCATGGTTCCTTACTGAGTCCCTAAGGACTTCTCCCCACCTGCCCAACAGGGTCGCTACCCCCATTGGTGTCTCTTCCTTCACGTGTCCTATCCTGCCCCCCACTCCCTCTCTCTTCCTCATGGAGCCACTCCCCAGGTAAGCCCATGTCCCAGGCTCTGTGTCCCCGACAATCCAGACAGGGAGGTGCAGGTGCACGTTAGCTCATGCCATCCCTCCCTGGGGCAGGGGCAGAGCCCAGCTGGGCACGTAGCGGGGGGTGCTCTGCAGTCCGAGGTCTCAGCTACCGCCCCGTGCAATGCTGTTCCTCCTGCCTGCGTCTGAAAGAAGAGCCGAGTTCAGTGAAGGGGCCTCCCCTTCCTCCAGTCCTGGTTTTCTAGCAATCCAGGGGCATTTCTCCTCATTCTAAAGAAGTGGGTAAGTGTGCGGGGCTAACTCGTAGCCCCAAAGAAGTCAGGTCCTAAGCCCCTGGAACCTGGCAGTGTTACCTTTTTTGGCAAAAGGGACTTAGCAGACCTAGTTCAGTTAAGTATATTGGGATGGGCATGTTATCGTGGGTCATCTGGGTGGGCTCTGAGTGTAATCTGAGTGCCCTTAGCAGGAAGGTAGCAGAAGGAGGTTGGTGGCTGCGGCACAGGAAGGCCACGTGCCATGGGAGCAAAATGCCACGCTGCTGACTGTGATGACACAGGACAGGACGGAGACACCTCCAGAAGCTGGAGAGGCAAGGAAATGCTTCCCCCTTGAACCTCAGGAGGGAGCGCAGCCCGCTCACCTCTGGTGCCCAGACTGCTGCACTGCCTCCAGACTCCTGCCCTCCAGAAGGTGCTGTGTGACATCCCAGGTGTGCAGTGGTGTGTTCCAGCAGCCCCCGCATGTGGACAGAAGCCCAAAGTGAGTGTGGAGGGAGCACCCACATTTACTGAGCACCTAACACATGTGCCGACTGGCAGCTGAGCACCATGCATGCGGTCTCAGGTGTTTCTGTCCTTGTTTCACAGATGGCCAGCCTGAGGCCCCGAGACATTTGGTAGTGCTTCCCTGGGATGCACAGCTGGAAACGCAGAGCCCAGACCTGCGGCCAGTCCACACTGCTGCCTCCTCCTGCAGCTGCCCCATCCCTGCCGGAATGGTCCTCCCTTCAGTGCTCAGAGGGGTGTGAAGAAAGCAAAGCAGAAATTATCAGGTTGTTCAAACATCTGTGGCGAGGCAGCAGCGATACCAAACACACAAAGGGGCACCAAGAGCTTCGGCGTCTGAAGATGGTCAACAGCTCCGTAGAGAACCATGGACATGGGCCCGTTTACGAGTCACAGGAGGTGGTCATCCTAAGTATCTGCCAATAGCAAAAGTGCTTAAATCTGGTTGAAAGGACAAATGGAAGGGCCCGGGCGGCTTTGTCACCATTGTGGTCTGGCCACGGGTCTTCCTGCCACTGGCCTGTTATCTCAGGCTTTTTCTTTTTCAAGTCTTTAGAATTCAGGCTGAATTGTCACAGATAAGCTGAGTGGGGAATAGAGAGGGAGGGAGGCGGAGGAGGGGGGAGGGGAAGGGGGAAGGAAGGAATGGAGAGGGGGGAGGGAGAGGACAAGGGGAGGAGGGGAAGGGGGAGGGGGGATAAAGGTGGAGGGAGGGGACAGAGGGGACAGGGGACGGAGGAGGAGGAAGGAAGAGGGAGAGGGAAGGGGGAGGGAGGGGATGGAGGGAGGAAGGCCGAGGTGTAAGACCTGTTTCAGGGACAGGGGCTGTTTCATGAATGTACCTTTCTGGTCCTCCTGCTGAAGCAGGTGTTCTAAGAGGAAGAGGTGAGAGAGCATCTTAGGCACACCTGCCACCAAGAGCCTCCCATGGAAGACAGAGCAGGTGCTGAGGTCGATCGTGAATGTAGAGCTAAGTCTTCATGTTGTGTTTTGCTTTGCTTTTTTTTTTTTTTTGAAATTCAGTGTTTATTCCTCAAAGTAGCAAGAAAAAGGAGGATCTAGACACGAGTGAAAGATGAAGGAAGGTAGGACTTCACAACTATGCACCTAGGAGCAAGAGGTGGAGGCAGCGGGGTCAGAGGCAGGAACTGCAATACTGGGGCTGGGGGCGGGGCACTCAGGTAGAGGTGTGCCATGTGTGCAAGTGTGCACACGTGTGTGGGTGTGTGCGCATGTGTATATGCATGTGTGTACACGTGTGCAGGGTACACACAAATGTGAGCGCATGTATGTGTGTGCTTTGTGTACACGTGTGGGCGTGCAGGTTCGTGTGCATGCAGGTGTGCACGTGTGTGTGTGTAAGGATGCATCAAGTGTTTATGGCAGGTAATAAAAACAAACTGTCTGACTGGAGGGTCTGTGAATCTCCGCCCCTACAGTTCTCTGGTTTTCCGCACACGCCAGAGTCTGCGTGGAGGCCGTGAGTGGGAGTGCTCAGCAGCAGTGTCTGGCCACTGTTTAGGCACACAGAGGGACTCTCCTAGTGCACGTTGTTCGACAGGGATGGGACTACCTTGATAATAAGTTGTGAGCAGGTACCATGTGTCACCTCCTTGTGGGAATACTTAATTTCCCAGGAGGGACCTCCTAGGGCTCCCTGTCCATGGTGCCGGCAGGGCTGGTGGTGGTGACTCCAGCCTCGGAGCCCCACAGCCTGGACCCTTGAGAGCAGAGACCCCCACAAAGCTGTGGAGATAGGTGGCACGTGACAGCGGTGGCAAGCACAGCTGTCTCATTTGAAGTCGCTGATACCCCTGGATTATGTTAGTTCACGTGGACCAAGCTATTTCCACCCCAGCAACATGCACAGACATGTTCTGATTACTGAATTAATAGAGAAAAAGTGCACCAAATTAACAGATTTTGTGGATTGGGGGAGGGGGATGAATGAGACACATGAAGGCAGATGAAATAATGAGGAGTGGGGGTGGCTAGGAAGATCCTAATTCCTGAAAACACAACATAAGCCAGGAACGTAACTGGGGTCTGACCCCGGGGCCAGAGGACTTGGTTATAAATAAGCATCTTTCCATAATGCCCAATGTAGGGGACCCCACCCCCCAACACTTCCTACTACTATGGCTTTATAAGGATGGAAAGGGGGTGCAAAGGAAGGAAATGAAATTCTAGAAGGAGCGACTTGTGGCCTTGAACTCTTCACCTCGGACAAGGCTCTGGGGAGATTGGAGGGGATCCGAAGAGAGAACGAGATCCCACCCAGGAAGGACTTTGCCAGTGAATGAAAGGGGGCGTCCGGAGCCTATGCGCTGGATAGTTCAGGGGCACAGCACCTACCTGGGGGTACCGATTTTCATAATCGCACAGTTTGGGGACCACGGTGCTAATGGGCCCTGCTTGTTGCCATTTTTGAGGGGACCTCAGCCTGGGTGTGTCAGGGATCTTTCTCTGTCTATGACTCAGCTTGGGCTGTGAGTCAGGGGGCTACCGCCTTGCTGGCTCTCCTGGTCCCTTTTTGCTTCCAAATGTGGTCTAGCCCATCCAGGGGATGCAGAAAAGGGGAGTGTGTAAAAATACCCCAGAGAGAGGGAGAGGGAGAGTCACATGGAAGACATAATTCAGTTAAAGATTTGGAGATGAGATTATCCTGAATTTGGGGGCAGGCTGCAAAAGCAATCAGTATCCTCGTAAGGGAAAAATAGGGGGAGATTTGGCAGACAGAGGAGGAGGAGGCCCTGTGGAGATGAGGCCGATGTAGCAGGGACCACATGTGGCCACACGTGCACGAGCACTGGCTGCCTCGAGCCCCTGCAAGAGGCAGGAGCAGACTCTGCCCTGGAGCCCCCCAGGGGGCATCATGCAGACTTCTGGCCTCCAGAACTGTGAGGAAAGCATTCCTGTTGTTTGAAGACGCAAGCTCATGGTGAGTGGTCAGAATGGCCACGGGAGACCAACCCATCACCTGGGCATGGCTGTCTGTGCTCTGTGCCCCAATTACAGGCCTTACTTCTGGGGCTTTCCTCATTGAGCCTCTTGCACAAGGCACCAGCCCACAGCTGGGTCCAGGGAACCTGACTGAAGGCTGGGCCCACCCTGAGATAGAAAGATACCAGCCTGGTTCCCCAAGAGCCCACCTGGGTCTGCCTGCATCCTGTGGTCTCCGCAACAGCCAGATGGGCGGGACTTGCCCATCTGGCCCTCAGGCCCCCATCTCCCTGACTGTCATCCGATGAATGGACACACGGATCAGTCCAGATGAGCAGACAAGACCTGGCCATTCCTTCCGAATGACCCTGCATGGTGCTAACGGTGTGAGGGAAAGATTGGGTGGGACTCGACCCTCTCTCAGAGTCTGCTTCCAGCCAGCTGTGCCATTGTAAGGATATTGTTAATAATTTTGACTCTGCTATGCACAGTCCATCACTTCCGTGAATTTAATGCCATTCCTCTTTCCTTGAATGCTGTAGGAATTTAAATCTTAC